GCTTTTAAAGTTGCATAATATTGATTTATAGGGTGGTTTTCTATTCAAACTTGTGTATAGATTGTGTTCGTAGGTAGAAAATCCGACTCGGCGGTGGATCGAGAAAAAGGAGATCAATTTGTGCTTATTTGAAGCCTTAAAGATGATTGTGGATTACATATGTGATTCCAACATTAGATTTGATGCATTTGATTCCCACATTTGCTAAGGATCATGCCAACATATTTCAGTACTAGTTACACACTTACACAGAAAACTGACCATCAGAGCCATTTTGTATCATGGCTTGCTGCTGTGTCATGCCATAATCGCCATTATGTGCCTGTCATATGCTTGATTTTCCCAACCGAATTGTGAACTAGAGTCAGCTCCCAAGTAAGCCGGAAGTCGTCCATGCTTTGCTTGTCTTGTCCAAATCCCGATCTGCACAAAATACCAGCAATCGATATCATGCACACAAGGCATGCAATTAGATCATGTCGTGCCATGAATTCATGCACCACAGCTTGACATTGTCCACAAATCGAATTAACGTTGCCTTGCGCCCAAATTCGAGAACTAGCTCCATCCTATGTACATTTCAACAGAGGTTGCGAAATGAAAGCATGGCATAGCCGTTTTCAACTTCTTGTTAGATTTTAGGTGTGACCCAAATTTTTTTGTTGAAAATAATTGAGAGTTCTAATTAAAGTGCACATTAAGAATAATTCTATTTGAAATATTATTGTTAAAATCCCGTTCAAAATTCAAATTGAAGTTGTGTTTGGAAGTTCACTGGGAGTATGAATTTGTGTTGAACTTGAAGAGGACTTTGGAATGAAGAAAAACATATTTGGAAGGTTTTTAGATGGAGACCCTTATCTGTTTCGCTTCTGTCTAATTTTTTTCTATTCTACTCCGTTTTTGGCATTTTACTTCAATTACAACTTTATTATGGGTTTGGACATTCCTTATTTGTTCTTTATATATAGTTGGCTCTTCATTATGATTTTTTTAAAAAAAAAAGTTAGAAATGTTGTAAACGCATAATTTTTGTATTCTTTCTCCATATTATAATAAAATATCAATTTCTGCAAATTATTTTATTTTTATATTCTTGTAATCATTACTTCATATTGTGGTTTAATCTCTTATTTTCCCAACAACTTAGTATTGGATTAATTCGGTATCATCTCCGTTTTTCACAACAAACTCGTATCAGAGCATTACAGTCCATAACAATTGGTATTAGAACTTTTGGTGTTGAAATTCTTGAAAAGATTGAGGTTTTTCGTGATGACAACAATGAAATATAATATTAGATCGCAATACAATATTCTCTTTGTGGCGGGTAAAGATGCGAGCATTACTCGCTCAAATGGATTTGAACTATACATTGTTGAAATTTGACAAAATGCCCACAACTTAGTCTATGGAGGAGAAACAACGGAATGATCGAAAGACCCTATCTCAAATACATCTTCATCATTCAAATAATATTATTTAGGACATTTTGAAGGAGAAATCAGTTACTGCATTATGATTAAAATTGAAACAATTATGAACGACGAAGAGATTTACTTGCAAATTGCATATGAAGCAACGTCTATATTCTCACGTATGACAGAAGGTACATCTCTTGAGAATCATCTAGCTGCTTTTAAAGAAATCGCCTCTTATTTAGAAATCTTAGAGGTCAAATATGATGAAAAAGACTTGGGATTGATTTTGTTGTGCTCATTGCCTGCCTCATACATGTCTTTTAGAGACACGATACTATATAGTTGTGAGATAGTCTCATTGTTCATGGTGGTCGTTCTAAGGGCAAGTTAAAATCTAATTTCAAATTTTGTAATTATCGTAAGAAAAAAGGGTTAATACCCAAAATAGTCACTAAATTTTGCTAAAAGTTCTCAGGAGGTCACTGAACTTCAAAATTTCCCTAATTAGTCACTGAACTTTTCCAAAACTACCTAAGAGGTCACTGAACTTCGAACTACTCTAAATAGTCACTAAACTTTTCCAAAACTATCCTAATTAGTCACTCAACTTTACACAAAATTCTTAGGGGGTCACTAAATCATTGATGTATGGGGTCATAATTTGAAAAGTTCGATGACCTCCTAGGAGTTTTAGCAAAGTTCAGTGACTATTTAGGGTAGTTTTGAAATTCAGTGACCTCCTAGGAACTTTGAACAAAGTTCAGTGACTAATTAGGGATGTTTAGAAGTTCGGTAACCTCCTGAAAACTTTTGGCAAAGCTCGGTGAACAGTATGGGGTCACAATTTGCTAAGTTCGATGACCTCTTAGGAAGTTTTAGCAAAGTTCAGTGACTATGTAGGGTAGTTTTAAAGTTAAGTGACCTCCTAGAAACTTTTTGCAAAGTTCAGTGACTAATTAGAGAAGTTTTGAAGTTCGATGACCTCCTGGGAACTTTTGGCAAAGTTCGGTAACTATTTAGGGTATTAACTCTAAGAAAAAATGGAACTTGGTAAACGATTGTTATAAGTTGTAGAATAAATCAAAGTCAAGTGCAAGTCAACAATCAAAAATTTCAGGAGAAACAAATATTGTAGAAAATCTTAGTAGTGATGAAGAGCTTCTACTTATGTCTGACTACAACACCAAACCTGATGAGACTTGAATTTTGGATACGGCTTGCAATTTTCATGTGTTATCCAATCAATAATTATTTTCCATATGAAAAAGTTTCAAAAGGTATTGTGATGATTGATAATAACATATCATGTCAAATAGTTGATATTGGTCGGGGTCAAATACAGATGTTAGATGGAATAGTTAGAACATTTGATACAGTGAGACACGTTCCAAATCTGAAGAAAAATATTATCTCCTTAAATACTCTTGATTCAAAATAGTACAGGTACACTGTTGAAGGTAGAGTTTTGAAGGTTATCAAAGGAGTTGGTGTTGTGTTGATGGAACATAAAAAATCTCATCTATATATCTTACATGGTAATACAAATTTTCAAGTAATCATATTTTGAGAACTCTGGTGGATTTAGAGTTGACTTTTGTACCATTGTGGTCTAATTTAGAGTCTTCTTTTAAGAATACATCTCAAATGAATTTTGAATATATGGATAAATTCGTTTTGTCACCATTATTGATTGTGTCTTCGTATTCAATTGTTAGAAATAACCCATTTTTGACATAAGATTCTACATACATACAATTCTATTGATTTTGTTGATGGATTGAATACGTTTAAGAGTGTTGATTTTAGCTAAGATCCTTCTTTTGATGCATTTAGTTATGATTTTATTACAGGGCTTGTTTCAACCTTATTTGGTGGTCATTAGATCATTTTTTGCCTCTAGTTGAGGTAGTAGAGATGGAAAATATTTTCAATTGGAATTATTAATGGAAAAGTTCGTTTGTATTTTTCATTGAAGAGTTCAAATTTATTCTTTACAGTGAAATTTGTCTCCAGATGGAGATTGTTAGAATTTGGATGTGACTCGAATTATCCGTTAAAGATAATTAGGAATTATAATTAAAGTGAACATTAAGAAGAATTCTATTTAAAATGTTATTATTGAAATCTCATTCAAGTTTACTTGACGAATTCTAATTGAAGTTATATTTGGAAGTTCATTGAGAGTATGAATTTGTGTTGAACTTGATGAGAACTTTGGAATGAAGAAAAACACTTTTGGAAGGTTTTTGGAGGGAGACGTTAAATTGGCAGAAGAGTCAGCGTCGGTCCCATGGCGTCCGGCGAGTGGCGCCCCAACTACGCCCCACTTGTTTTGTTCTTGCGCGATTTTTTTCGTTTTTGCATTTTACTTCAACTACAGCTCTACTATGAGGGTTTAGACGTCATGTATTTGTTCCCTATATATAGTTGACTCTTTATTATGATTTAAAAAAGAAGTTAGAAATATTGTAAATACATACTTTTTATATTCTTTCTTTCATATTATAATAAAATATCAATTATCTACAAATTATTTTATTCTTGTGTTCTTGTAAACAATTACATCATATTGTGACTTGATATCTTATTTCTCCAACAACTTAGCATTTGACTAATTCGATATCATCTCCGCTTTTTACAACAAAATGGTATCAGAGCATTCCAATTTATAACACTTATGAAAGACTGACATTAGTCCATAATTAAAATAAATGGATCAATCCATAGTTTTTAGCAATTAATTTTTATTTAAGTTAGCTGAAATTTTTATCTTGTAATTAAATGAGGTTTACGAAGTTACAATGAATGACACGAGACAAATATTCTATAATTTATACTTTTTACTAACAAGTTAATTTAGTCAATGATCACTAAACTTTGTCATAAATTACTACTTGCTCATCTAAATTTAAAATGTTACTCTTTGCTTATTGAGATTTGCTATATGTTATTGTTTACTAATTGAAATTTAAAAGATTACTCATTACTCACTCAAATTTTAATAAAGTAACCTATTAATCACTCATATCATTTATCAATGTTATCTATAACAAAGTTTGGTGAGCTATGAGTAGTTTTGTTCAAATTTAAGTGAGTAACAAGTAAATCTTTAAATTTCAGTGAGCAAGTAGTAATATATAGTAAAGTTCAATGAGCAACGAGTAATATTTTAAAAATCGATGAGCAAATAGTAACCATGGCAAAGTTTGGTGGCCATCTATTGAATTAACAGCTTGTTTGATAGGAATTTTTTGGGGAAGAATTAATTTTTGAATAGTGATATTATGGAAAATGTGTAATTGAAAAAGAAAAAAAAAATTATTGATATGATGAAAAATATTATTTTATTGATGAATGTGTGGTTGAAAATGAGAATTGATTTGAGTAAAAAACGAACACCCCCTAACTCCTTCACTGACGCCAAAATGATTGACACAACAAAGTTTCTGGGGAACTCGACTGCTGACCAATCATCAATTTCAAATTTTAAACTTTTCACTCTCTATGCAAAGTCGTCTCTAAAGTCATCCACAATCCTAGCATGTAAAGATTTTTTATGCCAAAGAATTAAACTTGATGATGAATCGCCAAAATAATGATACTGCAGTATCCGAAGAGGTTTACAATATTATCCCACTAGACAACTTCTCCGCTGATCATCCCTGCCGCCGGTTTCCCCAGGTCCGGCTTGCTATTGCCGCCCTGCACGCAGTTGGTGACCTCCGCCCGCCACAATTCTCGTCCTGGAATCCGGACTATGATCTCCTCGACTGGCTAGGCCTCCATTTCGGTTTTCAGTCCTCCAATGTCAAGAACCAAAGAGAGCACCTTGTCCTGCATCTCTCCGATGCACAAATGCGCCTCTTCCCTACACCTGACAACTTGGACTCTCTTGATCCTTCCATTGTTCGAAACTTCCGGTGCCGCCTCCTGGAAAACTACTCCGACTGGTGCTCCTACCTCGGCATCAGACCAAATGTCCAGCTCTCAGATTCTTGCTCAACCTTGGCTTTCAGGCCTAACGTCCAGCGTGAGCTTCTGTACGTGTCTTTATATTGTTAATATGGGGCGAGTCTGCTAATTTACGTTTTGTTCCCGAATGCATTTGCTATATTTTTCACCATATGGCAATGGAATTGAATAAAATATTGGAAGATTATATAGATCACAACACGGGGAGGCCCTTTTTGAGTTGGTTATCTCGAGAAAATGCATTTTTTGACCAAATAGTTAAGCCCCTTTATTATGTAATGAGGGTAGAAGTCGAGAACAGTAGAAATGGGACTGCACCGCACTCCAAGTGGCGAAATTACGATGATATAAATGAGTACTTTTGGAGCAGGAGGTGCTTTAAGGAGCTAAAGTGGCCAATTGATATTTTGGGTACTTTTTTCATGACAAGCAGTAAAGAAAAGAGGGTGGGGAAAACGGGGTTTGTGGAGCAGAGATCGTTTTGGAACATTTTTCAGAGCTTCCACAAGTTGTGGACTATGTTAATTTTATTCATTCAAGCAGCAGTAATTGTAGCGTGGGAGGAGAAGGGCTATCCATGGGAAGCTTTAAAGAGTATGGAGGTCCAGGCACGATGCTTGACTGTGTTCATCACGTGGAGCGCAATGAGATTATTGCATTCATTACTCTATGCAGCAATGCACTATAGTTTGGTTTCGAGGGAGATGAAATGGTTAGGTATGAAAATGGTTTTGAAAATTGTAGTTTCTGCTGGGTGGATTTGGGTTTTTATGATGTTCTATGGGAGGATTTGGGATCAAAGAAGTAATGATGGGACGTGGTCGCCTGAAGTGAATCATAGAGTGGTGAATTTTTGTAAGCTTGCTTTAGTTTTTATGGCCCCTGAAATTTTGGCTCTGGTTTTGTTCATTCTGCCTTGTGTTGGGAATTATTTGGAGAATACAAATTGGAGGATCTTTCGTTTGCTGTCCTGGTGGTTTCAGGACAGAACTTTCGTTGGTCGATGGCTTAGGGAAGAATTCACGGACAGTATAAAGTATATGATCTTCTGGATATTTGTGCTGGGGACAAAGTTTTCCTACAGTTATTTCTTGCAAATCAAGCCCATGATTGGATCTACGAAGACATTGTTGCATACCAACATTGATTATGAGTGGCATGAGTTCTTTAAACACAGCAACCGATCTGCATTGGGGTTGTTGTGGCTTCCAGTTTTTTTGATATACCTGATGGATCTGCAAATTTGGTTTTCAATTTACTCTACATTTCTTGGTGCTATTATTGGTTTGTTTAATCGTCTGGGTGAGATTCGGAACATGCAGCATTTGAGGTTACGGTTTCAGTACTTTGCTAGTGCAATTCGGTTCAACTTGTTGCCCGAGGAACAGCTGTTGAACGTGAGAGGAACATATAGAAGCAAGTTCAGGATAGCCATTCACCAATTGAAACAAAGGTATGGGTTTGGTAGGCCCTTTAGAAAATTTGAACCTAACCAGGTCGAGGCCTACAAATTTGTTATGATATGGAATGAAATAATTATGACATTCAGAGAGGAGGACACCATAAGTGATCAAGAGGTCGAGTTGTTGGAAATGCCTAAAAGATACTGGAACATCAGCGTGATTCAATGGCCATGTGCGTTCCTATGCAATGAGGTGCGGCTCGCTCTCAGATTGGCAAAAGGACTTTCTGATGCTCCTGATAAAAAGCTTTGGGTTAAGATCGGCAAGAATGAATATATGCGTTGTGCAGTTATTGAAGCATATGAGAGTGTGAGGCAATTCTTGCTGACCATCGTCAAGCATGACAGTGAGGAGCATTCCATTGTCAAAACATTCTTTCAAGAAATTGATCAGTGGATTCAATTGGAGAAATTCACGAAATGCTACAAGATGGCTGCGCTTGAAAATATCCATGAAAAGTTAGTCCATCTACTCAATCTAGTACTCAAGCCTCCAGTTAAAGATCTTAACAAGGTAGTGAATGCTCTGCAGACCCTCTACGAGGCTGCTATTCAGGATTTTTCGAAAGAATATAGACATATTTATCAGCTGAGGGAAGCTGGTCTGTTTCCTCGAACAACAGTTTCGGGTGCAAGAGTTCTTTTTGAGATGGCTGTTGAGTTGCCTGGTCCAGATAATGAGATTTTCTATCGATGTCTTCGACGTTTACACACGATTCTCACATCTGAGGACTCAATGCTAAAAATTCCCGAAAATCGTGAAGCAAGACGACGAATCTCTTTCTTCAGCAATTCCATGTTTATGAATATCCCCCATGCTTCCGTAATTCAGAAAATGGCAGCCTTCAGTGTTCTAACTCCTTATTACAACGAAGAAGTGCTATACAGCAAGGAACAACTCCGGATTGAAAATGAAGATGGGATTTCCATCCTCTACTACTTGCAGACTATCTATGCTGATGAGTGGAGAAACTTCTTAGAGAGAATGCACCGGGAAGGGATGGTAAGTGAAAGAGAATTGTGGACAACTAGGTTGAGAGATCTTCGGCTATGGGCATCTTACAGAGGCCAGACACTGGCCCGCACGACTAGGGGAATGATGTACTACAATCGGGGTCTTAACATGCTGGCTTTTCTGGATTCAACACACGAGATAGACATCATGGAAGGATCTCAGCAACATCATTTCATGAGACTCAATGATAATAAAGATGGATTGGGCTCAATAATGTCACCCCATTCAAAAACTTCAGTCGATGAAATTTGCATTCCGATGAAATTCACTTACGTAGTTGCTTGTCAGTTATATGGAACTCAGAAGGTCGAAAAGGATCAGCGTGCTGAGGAAATCTTGAATCTGTTGAAAGACAATGAAGCTCTCCGTGTTGCTTACATTGATGCGGTGTCCAAAGAGAAGGCTGAAAAAGAGTATTACTCCGTCCTGGTGAAATATGATAAAAAGCTGCAAAGAGAAGTGGAAATCTATCGGATCAAGTTACCTGGTGATCCCCTGAAGCTTGGAGAGGGGAAACCAGAAAATCAAAATCATGCCATCATCTTCACTCGAGGAGATGCAATCCAGACCATTGATATGAACCAAGACAACTATTTTGAGGAGGCGCTAAAGATGCGAAACTTTTTGGAGGAATTCCAGCACAACCATGGCATCAAGAAACCGACTGACTATATTGGGACTCTGGGAGCACATATTTACAGGTCCAGTCTCATCACCTGCTCAGTGCCCAGGAGACAAGTTTTGTGACCTCGGGGCAGCGTATTATGGCTCACCCTTTGAAAATCCGAATGCATTATGGTCATCCAGATGTGCTTGACAGGTTTTGGTTTCTGACTCGGGGTGGAATAAGCAAGGGTTCTAGAGTGCTTAACATCAATGAGGATATCTTTGCTGGATTTAATTGCACACTTCGGGGTGGAAATATCACTCACCGCGAGTACATTCAATTAGGCAAGGGTAGGGATGTTGGCTTAAATCAGATCTCTATGTTTGAGGCCAAGATTGCAAGTGGGAGTGGAGAGCAACTCCTCAGCCGAGATGTCTACAGGTTGGATAGTAGGCTGAACTTCATAAGGATGTTTACCATTTTCCTCACTTCTATAAAAATTTTTAAATGCACCGATGAATGATGATTGTTCATCCCTTTCTATATATCTTATCTACAGGTTAGGTAATAGGCTGGACTTCTTCAGGATGCTTTCTTTCTTCTACACTTCAGTAGGATTCTTCTTCAACGCATTTGTGGTTGTTTTCGCTTTTTATGCCTTTTGGTGGGGGGAATTCTCTCTGGCCCTATGTGGGTTTGAGAGTTTAATGAAATCAGGTAAGGCGGATCAAAATGCAGCACTTCTGTCTATCTTGAGCCAAGGATTTGTCATCGAACTTGGCCTTTTCAATTTCTTGCCAATGATTGTTGAAAATATAGTTGAGCATGGTTTCCTCACATCTGTCTGGGAATTCATTGTAACACAGCTCCAACTTTCATCCGTATTCTACATGTTCTCCCTGGGAACTCGTTCCCATTACTTTGGTCGAACCCTTCTTCATGGTGGTGCCAAATACCGAGAAACTGGGCGCGGCTTCGTTGTACAGCACAAGAGTTTTACTGAGAGTTACAGACTATATGCTCGCAGTCATTTTGTGAAGGCAATTGAGCTTGGACTAATACTTGCAGTATATTCTTTGTACAGCCCTGTTGTAGGGACTGGTTTTGTGTACCTAGCATTAACTCTAGCCAGTTGGTTTGTGGTAGCGTCCTGGATTTTGAGCCCCTTCATCTTCAATCCTCTAAGTTTTGAGTGGCTTAAAACAGTAAATGATTTCCATGAATTTATAAACTGGATATGGGACCGTGGTAGCATATCAGCAAAAGCTGAACAGAGCTGGGAAAAATGGTGGTATGAAGAACAAGATCATTTGAGGACCACTGGTATTTGGGGGAAGGTAACTGAAGTAATTCTAAACCTTCGATTCTTCTTTTTCCAATACGCGATGGTGTATAAGCTTAGCATTGCTGCTGGAAGCAACAGCATAGCTGTCTACTTGTTTTCCTGGATCTCCATACTAGTTGTTCTTGGAGTTTACGCAATATTAACATGTGCCGGCAATAAGTACAGCATCAAGGCTCACCTTTACTACCGTTTTATCAAGGCTGTAATTCTTGTTCTTACAATATTCGGGATCATTGCCCTAAAGCTGCTCACCAATTTCAGATTTCTTGATCTCCTCAAGAGTCTGTTGGTTCTCATTCCCACTGGATGGGGACTTATTTCGATTGCCCTCGTACTGAAGCCCTCTCTGGAGAAATCAGTGACATGGGATACTGTTGTTTCTTTTGCAAGAGCCTATGAAATTATGTTTGGAATGATAGTGATGAGCCCAGTTGCAGTCCTGTCCTGGTTGCCAGGGATTCAATCTATGCAGACAAGGATTCTATTCAATGAAGCATTTAGCAGAGGTTTGCACATTTCTCAGATTCTGGCAGGAAAAAGAGCCCCAGCAAAATCTCACGTTGTTTAGAAAATTATTTCAAATTTATGCGTACTTTTTTTGGTTAAAAGCATCGTAGATCTGTGGAAGTATTAGCAACTTTGATTAAACTAATGTTGTGTTATTTCAATTTATTAATATTACATCTATAGTGGTTTGCTAAGTCTTTGGTAATGTGTGTATTGGCAACATTTTTATCAACTAAATTTCAGTGATTCGATTGTCATAAATGTTTTAATTTGGTAACCAAATATGCCACTCAAATACTGCAAACTTCGAAGGATGTATACTATACTAAGCGTTTGTTGGGCATAGCTTAGTTGTGTGAGATCAGAGATTTACAAAGAATAAGAAGTATCTCATCATCCCCATGTATTAAGAACATGTAAATCTTATAACCATTTATTAATGCAAGAAAAATGTAAGACAGAAACCATACAGGCAATTAGGACGATTGATTACTCTTAGCCGGACCATCCTCTCTGAGAACCTCCAGAAGAATGTCCATTCAATCTGTCAAGCACAGCGTTGAAGTCAATGGGCCGACCACTCTCTTCCAGTCGCTGAATTACACCAACAACATGATCACCTCTGTAACCCATGCTTCCCAACTTCTCTATCAGCTCAGTGTAGGGATGATTGCGCATGAACTGTGGTGGACGAACCATCAAATTAGCCATGTGCAGAGGGTTCTGGAGGGGGATGCTACTAGGAGGATAAGCATTTTGTTGGAAGTGAGGTTGTGGGGGTGGATGATGTGTCCTTCCACCTTCACCGTCAAACATAGTATAATAGTTTCCCATAGGAAGTGTCGGACGAGTTGCACTAGGTACATACACATCCCCAGATTGTGCACTGTATGCAATCTTGCCATGCCGTGTTGGAGGCTGAGATATAGTTGGTCTGCCAGCACCACCATGCCCATAAGGCATAATACCCTCAGAACCAGTAGGCCCAGGTTGAGATGGACCCGAAAATGGCACTTGCATGGGCATGCTATTAGGAGCCGTCATTTCTGGTGGAGAAGGATTTGGTTGGCTAGACAGGTAGGAAGGGTTCACTGCTGGAGATGAGGATCTAATCTGTGGAGGCACAGATGGCAGTTGAGGTGGTGGTGGTTGACCATGCTGAGGTGGCCACTGCTGCTGACATGGAGGTAATGACTGAATTTGTTGTGGCTGGTTTACTTGAGATTGGGTAAACTGTGCTGCCACTCTAGAGTAATCTTGAATTTGATATTGTGTTGGCAGATATTGAGCCTGAGATAATTGTGATGAAGTCGGTGGAGGCAAGTAATATGCCTTTGCTTGTGGCATACTCTGCGAAGGCACTGACAGCGGGGGAGCCACAGGAGGCTGCTGGTGCTCAACTGGCCGAGTAGGTACCGAAGGTTGAGAAGCTACTTGATGGGGTAGGGCAACTGCCAATGGTTGACCTTGATTATCTGATGAGTTATCACTCTTTTTGGCATCGGGAGCAGGTAGAGAAGCTCCTTCCTCGCTCTGTTGAGAATTGGTTGCCAAAGATGATTCTTTCTGCAAAAGCTGCAGTTTGGCTAGTTCCTTCTGAGTTTCATCCAGTTCCTGCTTATCTCTTAGGATCTGCACTGACCTGTGGACCTGCATTAAATAACATAAGAAACTAGTTCATCACTAGCACTTGAAGATGTAGGCTGGAATTCATATCAAGACAAATCAGAGAAACAGCAAATGTATTGACACTCTAAAAACAAGACCAGGCCCTTGGCATCCAATCTAGAAGCCCTTTAAATACAGTCGTATTTCAAAGTGAATACCAAAGATGCAAAAATGTACAAACATAAACACACGAGACACAGAGACACGCAAGACATGAAGTGAGACGTGAGCAAAGGAGATTTATAATGGTTCATCTAGTTTTCTATAGCTTCAGTGACCAAAAGTCATGATACATTAAATCAAAATATATACTCACCTCGTCGATGTGTTTTTCCAGAGATTTTAGCTTCAACTCTGCCTCCCTATGATCACGAGCTAATTCAGAATGCATTTCACCAATAGCTTTGTCAAGATTGTAACAATATAATTCCAACTGTGACAGTCGAGAACTAATTCCTTCAAGAAAATGCATGAGATGGTCTGTATACTTCTTCACAGTATTTTCAACAGTAGAGATAAGATCTTGATTAAAAGAAGAATCTTCTGGTGGGCCGAAAGAGACAGAAGGAAAAACAGATGATCTCGCCATTCTACTTTTGTGGAATTCCTGCTAAATTGAGAGCATAAACCATTAAGATGCTCAATATTGCTTTGATCAACACCCAAACAACAATAGCTAACTACAAGATATTAAAAAAATTAAATGATGCAAACAACAGGAGACTTCTTAAAGTCCCTAAAGCCCCCACCCCCGCCCCCCCGACCCCCCAACACACACACAACCACAGGGTAATAGCTTCATAGTATACTAAGCCCCTGTTTGATAGCCATTATAAAGAGAAATTGGTGGAAAATGATGTTTTGAATAGTAATTTTTTTGGAGAATGTGTAGTTAAAAAGTAAGAAAATTTTTGGGTTTAAGTGCAAAATATTTTATTGTGTGAATGTATGGTTGAAAATGAGTATAAGAAATAAAGAGTTTCCAAATAAAGAGAGCCAAATAGGGGCTAATTCTGATGGTGACTTTTCAGATGCTCTTATTCTAACACAATTAATTGGTACTAGTTTTAATTGAATTTATCACCTTTAGAAACAAGAGTTTGGATGCATGAACATTCTTCCGTTTAGAATCTATCGAAAACCTTCTCATGTAACCCCTTAAAATAGTTCTAATATTCATTGGAATCTATCCCAATGACACAAGAGGCTTGACCAAAATCCTATATCAAAATTTTGAGAAAGGAACGCTTTGTCTTGTGTAACACGCCTAATTCATTGCCTGAACTACACTGGGAGAAGGTTTTGATCGTTACACAGAGTTGTTATCACCAGCACATTAATGTACGACATTCGAACCACATAAGATAAATTAAAATATTTTTTATGTAGCCCACACGCCACCAGGGACGTAGACAGGATTTTCCAACAGGGGAGCTAGAAATATTTTTTAAGTGAACTTCAACAATTAGAGAAAAAAAAAATTATATTGAAAAGCTATAAGCACGTGTTTTACTCCTCTCAAATTTTAAACTATGTTGAGTATTACCTCACCTCATGTGCAGACAATATTCTCTATGTGTGTGCATGCGCACAACTCTTCTAAACATTTTTATAAGAATTACCAGTTTGTTGAGGACACGTCAAAAGAAGAGGCAGGCGCTCTCTTAAGTTTTCCACCCTATCTACTAAATGCATACTTATTTGAAACTAAAAGGTATATCTATGTATGTGTTTTGCACACAGCTCTTTTAAACTTCATTTTTCTTGTGTTTTCTTTAGAATTATTGCAGTTGCCTTCTAAGTTCCTACCGTATTTTATTTATTTATTTATTTTTTCGGTATAAAAACATGGGTTCTGTCTGAATGCTTCTTTGCCATATCAATCAGAAAAAGCATTCAGCAACAATGTATTAAATACATCCATCAGAATGGAACCTGTTCACTACTCATCTCAAATTTTAAATAATGTTGAAGTGATGGATTTACATATTTATATTTATATCACGTCGTCACACGTGCAGACTATATTCATTTCATGAAAGGTTTTGTTCCATCTATCTCTTTCGGGGAAAAATGCGGGTACGCTCAAAAGTGAAGTCAGCTAGTGGAGCCCGTTATTGGTAGTCAAGTGATTCGGTCAGTAAATGAAAAAGAGTTATGCTTGAAATTTTCTTAAATGAACACCTCATAGCTTTTAGGATCTTAGAAAGTAAACACATTTTTTCATTTATTAGCATTCAACAGGCTTCTCAAGTGTAGTTTAGATGATTTATTTATTTATTTATCAAAGACCTAACAAGTGCACAATTTTTTCACAATGAGTGACAAGGGACTTGAACTTAGTACCCTTGCTGGCTCTCATATCATTTGGAAACCACCTCGTTTAAAGCTTAAGCTACTAGATATGGGACACTTTTATTTATTTAAGTTTAGCATTCGATGTAGAGGTAATTCATTTTCTATCAAAATAAGACACCTGATATTTTCATATAAGGGACAACTAAAACAAAGATGCACGACAAACCTTAATAAAATTTCATCAACCATAAGATGAACTGGACCTCAATTATGCTGATCATAATTGTAAATTCTGTGGATAATAAAAATGAAAATTTTTGGCTATGTACCCTGCGTTCCTCATTAAACTTCAGACAATTCATTTTCGCCAGTGAAGTCATTGAATTGCACTCCTGATCCATGTTAAACTTTCAAAACTACAGATGTAAGATACCCCCACACCAAAAAATAAAAATAAAAATTGACCTTGCAATAAAACAGCAGTTTAAAGCCATATACATGGCATGTGTACAAAATATTACTTCTTTCCTCTTAAATTATCTACTGTTACTTATTGGTTTTCCATCTCAATTCATCTCAACTCCAAAATAGCGGCTTTTAAGCTTTGACTAAATTTAAGATTAACCAAAAATCAACACTTAATTTCCCATAATAGCTCTAAAAATCAAAAACCCTAAAAGAGAATAATATGAAACTAAAAGAATTCGAAGACAGTGAATACCTCAGTGGAACTAGCTCCAATCGACGGGTCGGGAGGGTATCCATTATTCCCATCCGGATTGCCGTAATCCTCGTAGGAGCAGAGAACATCATCTGACGGGATAGCAAACGGTTTGGACCCGGGATGGATAGGCCGACTCGATGAAGATCCAGATGCCATAGTTACTCAACAGTAAAATTACCGAGAGAGTGACAAAAATGGAAGACAGAGTAGACCTGGTGGCGTGTTCGATTGAGTTTAAAACCGGATTAAAAATTTATTAGACGAGTGAGACCAAATAACGACTATAGCGAGTTGTATATATTTATAGTTGGGTAATTAGCGCAAAACGTTCCTTCCTTTACAGGTTTTTGTGCAAAACGTCCATACCTTTCATTTTTTTGGTTCAGAACGTTCCTACATTTACTTTTTCTTGCGCAAAACGCGATTTTCATCTCTTTTTAACAATTTTATTCTTCTATTAAAATAAAACAATTACAAAAGAAAAGAAAAATAAAGAATAAATTACAATCATGGGTTCAAACTTTTAAAAAGGTGCAAATTAGTCACAAATATGAAAAAACCATCACCCCTAAGCCGCTACCTTTGAAGGCAAAATCCCAACCTCCGATCACCTTGGTTGTCGGACCAACATACCACCTTCAAGCCCTCATTGCTCTCTTCACAACCCACCCAACCACCAGCCCAAATTCTGGTAGATTTGACCAGAATCGAGCTTCATACTTCGCCGCATGAAATGAGGTCAAACACCGAAATCACACCGTCCGGCCACTGGCCAACTCCCCTACTCAAGACGGCCTCGACCATGCAAACAATTTAGCCCAAACAGCAATGATAAAATTTGAATTTCAAATTGAAAGCTGCACATCACGATCGTCGCGACACCACACCGGTTTTCCTCCAATTCTGGCCCTGCGATGACAACCCATGGTGGCTGAACACCTGAAAGCGCACCTAGCCCAGCCATGGTCCCCTTCAATTTGGCTCCAATCGTCTTNTAGGTAGCTTCGACTTGATGAGGGGAGTCAACCAGTGGTGGATTCCTGTCGGTTGGGTGGCCGGACGACGAGTTGTGGGTGTTTGACCGATTTTCAGGCTGCCATTTTTGAATTTGATTTCCGGCCAAATTACAATAAGTTATGGGGATTTCTTGATATGTAATTGTAGAGGGTAATAAGGAAAACATGTTGGGACCAATATCTGACAGTTTGGGCGGCCGGAAGTCGCCGAAAAATGAGCTCATGTATTCGGCTGAAAAGGGGCAAGAGAGATTTTTTTTGTTCTTTTTAATATTTTTATAAGTTTTGGATTGATTTACATTTTTTAGAAAGTCTAGGAGTAAGATTGCAATTTATTGTTGATTTTTCTTTTCTTTTCTTTTTTGTTTTATTTATATATGAGGGTATATTAGTCATTTTATGTTAAAAATTGGTCAAAATGATGTTTTGCGCAAATAATGTGAAAGAGACGTTTTGCGTAAAAAAACGAAAGTTATGGACGTTTTGCACAAAAATGTGCAAAGGTGGGGACATTTTGCGCCAATTACCCTTTATAGTTTGTCGAGGAGCACGTTTGATTGTACGGTAAATTTTACACTGGGTCCCTAACCTTTTAAAAGTATGTCAACTATGTCATCAACCTACCATTTGTTGCACACATTCTCTAACTTTTAAAATCGTGACATTTGTGTCCCAGTTAACAAAAAACGTTTATTTAAACATTCGATGGTCATTTAACACTATGGGTTCAAGTTACGGAATATGTTTCATGAATATCAAGGAGTTTAACCATATTTGAATTTTTAAATGAAAATTGAAGTCATCGTCTGATTTGTTTTGAAATAAAGGAAATCTTTTTGAACGATTTTATGGTTATAGTCTATCGTCGGCTAATGTCACATGGTCATTTAACCTTGAGGGGTGGCTCAATTGGTCAGGCCGTGGGTTTGCTCCCCAATGGTCACTAGTTCGAGTTTCCTCAGGGCCACTGAGGTGAATACCCGGTCGTAAACTTCAGGGCTTCGTGGAATTAGTCGAGGTGCACGCAAGCTGGCCCGGACATCCACGGTTATAAAAAAAAATGTCACATGGTCATTTAATGTTCAGATAAACTTTTTTTTTCGATGATTAGGGATATGGGTGACACGATTTTAAAATGTACATTTCTAATATATATGTTATCTTGATGTATGTGACATTAGTTTTACTTTGTTCCAGTCATTTAAACTGACTCTGTAAACCAATTACACGGTTGAAGTGCTACTGATGACTAGTTTCTTATTTCATTTAACACGGATCCAAAGCTAGTGCAGATCCTAAGAGAAAGGAGGAACTTCCTGAAACTCGTAAAGAATTTGTTGACATACAAAAAGTGTAGCCCAAATTGAATAGTCTAAGGAATGAAGCCCAATTAGGAAATTCAGGATAAAGGTCCAAATAAGACCATTAATGAATGCAGTGGAGGCCCACGAACAAAGTACCATCATCGTCCAAGCTTGCAAGACGCCCAGGATCTGAACGAATGGAGTGCCTTATGGTTGCCCAGAGAGATGATCCCATTCTCCCCCAAACCTTCGAGTCGCTCAGGATCTGAGCGAATATAAGGTATTATGGTTATTCAGTACAGCAGTTATTGAAGCGGTTATTAAGCAACCTTATCACACCTCATGATCCAAGAATCCCGGTTGTAGGCAGTTAAACGACAAAAGTAATGGCAACAGTTAGAGACGGCATTTGGCAGTTCCATGACAAGTCAGTCATCATGAAGAAAGTGGGTAGTTATAGAGCACCAAACGATTCCAGGCAATTTTTTCACAAAGAAACTATCAAATAAGTATAAAAAGGAAAAGAAGACATAGAAGAAATGACCCCGAATCAAACACTCTTAACGTAGAATATGTAATTTCAATTTTTTAGTTTAACTTTAAAACATCTCTTTTTAGTACTCGTGTACTTGCGCCCTTTGAAGACATTCTGTTTATTTTCAATTGTAATATTCATCAATAAAGCACCCCTTTTTTTGGACTTTATTTCAAGATGTTTGTTCCTTACACAATCGTCTGAACCTTTTTTAATTGTTAGCGATAACCACACTAAACAATTTAGTACGCCCAGTGGGACAATTGGTGTTTGAGGATAAAAAAAGTGAAACATTATGTCTCATAAGAATTCTAATAAGGAACCAACAATTCAAGGAGTAGTCTAATCTGTGATCGAGCGATATGAGGAGCAGCCAAGCTCTCTACGAACAGAGGGACAGAGTCAAAGCAGTCAAAGTCACTACGAGCCAATGACGGAGTTGAGTCCTCAAACAATACGTGCATTGCTTGGGGAACTCACACGGGATGTCGTTGAACAGGTAAATCTATGAAATGTTCATAATATGGAAAGATTTATCCAAAATGGGAGTGCACAATATGACAACATGGCCAAACAATTGAATACATTAAACGAAATAATGAATAAGTTAATAGGCCAAATGTGTCAGCCAGTTGTGCCTATTGCAAACCACTTTCAAACCAGGACGATTGTGGGGGCATAATTCACCACATAATTCTCTTAGTTTGAACCCAAATCAAGGATTGAACCACTTTTCGGTCCTTCTACTTCAAATCAGGGGGTAATGGAACGCCAAACTTGAATGATGGTAATGAGATTACAAACTTGGGGGGTAATCCAAATATAAGAGATAATGTCATGAATAATGGACAGAACGTCCTGCACGTTAATAATGGATTAAATACTCAGTTTAACGGTAATAATGGACCAAACAATGACACTTTTGTTGCCAACCAAGGACCAAATATCAGGCCTCAAGCAAATCAACCAGTAAACCAGCTTGTAGGAATTCCATATGATCCAACGTCGTGTTGAGGAATCAAATCATGGAGATAATACAAGATCAAATGGCTTTTGGGGTACGCCCTGCCATTAGGCCGACTTACACAAAGCCATATCCTAATCGGGTAGATCAAGCATATCAATGGCCTAGGGTACAAAGTGCCAGAATTTTCATTATTCATTGATTTAGGAGAAGTGTCTGCTCTAGAATATATAGGGCGATTCACACTGCAAAGTGGTGAAGTGATTGACTATCATAAAATGAGGTTATTCCCTAGTTCGTTAACGGGAGTAGCTTTCTCCTAGTTCATTAATTTGCAAGCAAACTCTGTTCAAACATGGCAATAACTGGAACAATTGTTCCATGCTCAGTTTTATAACGCTGCATTTGAAGTCACCTTAGCCACATTTATCAATGTAAGTGCAAATCTAGTTTGTCAAATAACGTGAATCTGAAGTCACCTTAGTTTTTCATTTGTTCTTCTTCTCTTATCAATCGTTCATACATAATTACGTTCGCGCTGAGTTGGAACGGGTCAGGAAATTTTCTATCCTGGAATTTCTTCTTCAAATCACAGCTTAAGCTACTTTGATCGAATTTGACTAATTCCTTCTCAGGCAGAGGTACAAAACATTTGCTCCTGGCTGTTTTGAACCTTTGAAGGACACCTTCTGCCCACTCGTTTGGCATTTGACGTAAATTCGCCAAATCGGCCAATGTGACTTCAGATTTAGTCTTATAAAATTGAGCATGGAACAATTGTTCCAGTTGTTGCCATGTTTGAATAGAGTTTGCTGGCAAGTTAATGAACCAAGAGAAAGCTACTCCTATTAATGAATTAGAGAATAACCTCATTTTATGANCGCCAAATCGGCCAAAGTGACTTCAGATTCAGTCTTATAAAACTGAGTGTGGAACAATTGTTCCAGTTGTTGCCATGTTTGAACAGAGTTTGCTGGCAAATTAATGAACCAGGAGAAAGCTACTCCTGTTAATGAAGAAGAATAAATTATTTGCGTAAGTGCAAATCTAGTTTGTCAAATAAAGTTTATAGCTTACCATACGAAGGGCTATTTCATGTATAAATTTTGAGAAAAGTGATTTTTTTATTTTTATTATTTTTTGAGAATGTGTGGTTAGAAAGTGAAGAAAGTTATGGAACCATGTACAAATTTATTTTATTAAGAGAACGTGTGGTTTAAAGTAAGATTGAAGAAAAAAAAAATTTAAAGAATACGTACCAAACAATGGCCAAGTATCCATCATGTTTCCAGAAAAATTAAGAATATTAAATAATATTTTTTGCCGTTTTACTGCCT